TCCCTGCCTTACTTCATCTCCTTCCTTTCGTAGTAAGCTTATCCTCCATGTCCAGTTTATCCTGCCTCCTCCAGAGGTGACTGCTGTGACTCATCTGCCACACTTGGAATTTCCTCATTCATTTGAAGAATGGCAAGTACATGCCATATACCCTTGTATCCACACTCCCTATTTCCATGAAAAACATCACTAATTGACATTGTTGCTCTTTCCCATCGACACTGTTGGAAACCCAGAATTCTTCTCAACACAGCCCTCGAGGGGCCACCAAGTGCTCACTGGAGTTGGCAAGTGACACAGACCTCGTTGTTCTCTCTGATCCATTTCCTTTATTGTTATTTGAAGTTTCCAGGTGTGTTTGTCTTCTTTCTCCAGCAGGGCTCTTAAGTCCTTGAGGGCAGGGACCATAATCGTAATAACTAATGTCAATGTCAAGAATCCTAGCAACGACAATAATAGCAACAAAATAGTTACTGAATACTTGTCTATGTGGGCACTGTGCTGACCATGTTGCATGTACTTATTAATGTAACCCTCGGCACAATTCTTTGAAGACGATATTAGTGCTATTCTTATTTAACAGATAGTAAGTCTAAGTCCTTTACTTATCAATTTGATTTTTTAAATAAAAATTTTATATATTTAAGGGTTAAACAGGATTTGATACACATGTACATAGTGAAATGTTACCATGTTCAAGCTAATTAACATATCTTCTCTTATAGTTACTATTCTTTCATTGTGATGAGAGCATCTTAAATTTATTCTCTTAGCACATTTCCAGTATTTGATACAGTATTAGTAACTCTATTCATGATGTTGTACATTAGATCCGAGGTGTATTCATCTCACATAACTGCAACTTCGTACCTTTTGACCAGCATTTCCCCACCTCCCTACCCCCTTGTAATGACCATTCTGCTGTTTACTTCTATGTATTCAACTTTCTAAGATCCACGCATAAGGGAGGTCTTGCAGGTTTTTTCTTGCTGTGTCTGACTTATTTTGCTTAGCATGAGTTTTCAGGTGCATCCGTGTTGTTGCAGATGGCAGGATTTCCTTCTTTTTTGAGGCTGAATAATATTTTATATATAAATTTGTTAATCCATTCATCTGTCAATGGACAGGCAAGTTATCCCCTTTTCTTGAATCTTAAATATGACAAATAACTTGTCCAAATATACCCAACCAGATGTGGCAGACCCAGAAACTTGACCTCCAAACCTTTGCTCTTACCCCAAGTGCTATATCAACTTGCCCATCTGTGCATCATTCAGCTAGCACAGAGCTGTATGCACAAATAAGCATTTGTTGAATTAAGGCCTTTTATAAAACAATAAAGTCCTCCTAAGAGACAGAGAGAAATTGAATTAAAAATACCAGAAGCAATTTCTTCTCCGAAGAGTTAGAACATGCTTAAAAGGGGTCTGCCTCACTTCCCAGTGTCCTTGGCTGAAGGCAATGCCGTTTCCCATTCCCCAAGGGAACATGCTTTAGGGGGGCAGAAATGCTGAAGACCAGCTGTAAGGGGTCCTCTGGTGGAGGAGCAGCTCTGGGAGTGTGGGACCCTCCTGATGACGGGTCCTCCCAGTGGCTCCACTACCATCCAGTCACTGGCACCTCCCTGGGACTCAGTTTCCGAATTCGTAGAACGATTCGTCTTGATTCTATTAGCACTTCCCAGTATCTTCTCAACTAGCTCTGCAAAAAGTTCATCTAAAAAGTGTTTCTGTTGTCAAGTACTATTGGGAAGTTGCATTTCCCCTTGGGAGACAACGGACCCATATTACAGGCTCTGAAAAGGCTGTCCAAAAAAGAGCCTGATCATTTAACATTTACTTAATGCTTGTTTAATGCTGCATTTCCTACCCCTCCCTTTAGTTTTTATACAATAACTGCTAATATCTCTCAGAGCTGTACTTGTACTGCTTAGTACAAGTACTAAGTACAAATACCTGTACTTAGGTTGGAAAAAGCAATTGGCTAAATATTTTCTAAAGATCATTTTTAACACTCTGTATTTAATAATAACTCTATGAAATAATAATGTAACCACTGTAAACTGCTTCTGTTGAATGGAAGATGGAATCACTATTTTGAATTTCTGAGATTGCTTCATCAGAAAAATGGAGAGGGTGAGCTGTTGACAGGGGTTTGCAGTACACACAGCCCTGTGAGTTCCTGAAATGGACAATAGGGGGCACCCGTGGACTGCCGTAGGGCCGCCTCTCTCCAAAATGGGCAAGAAAAGGCAAAACCCAAGATGTAGCAACTAAAGCAATTCCTTTTCCAACTGAATGGAAAGCTAGTGAGAGCCAACTCCTCTCCCTTTTGAATCTGTCTCCCTCTTCTTCCTTTGGAGAAAAAAATGGGAGAAAATCAGGATGGGCAACAGCCCTTTTGCCCTTTAGGTTTAGAGATAGAAAATGATCTTTGAAGTAGCTCTTTTCAACTGCCTGCCATTGGTCGTGTTCACTTGGGGGCAGCTCCATTTGGTGGTAGACATTCTTATTGGACCAGAGGCTGGCAGTTTAAAAAGGAATTTTTCTTTCCTTCATCGATTCTGTCATTTTGAAGACAAAAATTTTTACAGGTGAAGAAAACAACAAACTGTATTAGGATATGTTCTTTTTTAAAAATGTATATGTTTATATTTAATCCACACCATATTTCAAAACAGAATATGAGGTACCTTAAAATGTATAAACAAGAGATTGTAAATAAGTTTTCACATAACACAAAGAAAACCAAAGGCTGAAAAGTAAAACGGAAGCAGAGACAGGCTGTGTTACCTGAAATTTCTGCCTAGAGACCTGTACTCCTGCTACAATTCCTACGAATCCCATTGCTTCGGAACACCATCCTACAAAGTGGAGGGACTGGACATAGTTAACCCAGTTTTACAGGTGAGGCAACTGAGGTACAAAGAGCTTAACTGATTTTCCCAAGTTAAGACAGGCAGAGACCAGATCTAAATGTCCTGACTTCTAGTCCAGATAGAAGTTTCTGGTGCCTGGGCTGCTGTGGGTGGGGGAAGAGATGCAGGGAACACAGGGTTGGCCCACTAGATGCTTCTTTTGCCCTGTCTTGAGGGCCAAAGCCCTCTGCTGCCTGCTGTCTCCCCAGCGCCCCTGACAGTGCGGGTGCCACCCCCACTCTGCCACCTCACCCTTACACACTTGCTTCTTAAATTGCATAGTCATCTGGTTTACCGGTCCCTCCGGGGCTAATTCTTGGCTAAGTGGCCGGTTGAGGATATACATTTAGGATTGGACATATATGTACGTTAAGGCAAATCATAAACCAAAGGTCATAATTATGGGAATGACATCTTGGTGTCAAGAAAATAAAGATCCTTCTAATCTCGGGGCTGTCTACACCCAGAGTGGGCGGGCACATGAGGGGAGGTGCTGCAGGGTAGGTGGTCCCCACCCGTGCAGCAGGTCTGCTGCAGGATCCGTGCCCGCCTGTAAGGGACAGGACAGGCAGGGGCCTCCTTGGCCTCTACTATTGGTTTAGATGCCTCTGACTCTGCTTCCAAGTCTTCCAGATGTTAGGAGACTTTTTTTTTTTTTACATTTTCTTACAAACTTTTTGCCACACATTGATGGAGTAAATATAACATAAATAAATAAATATTGAGTTTAAAACCAATTAGGCTCTTTCCATTTGAGATCATATTGTATTTCCCCCTTATTACAATCAACATAGTTTGGCCCCTGAAGCTGTTTCTCATGATAGTAGCTCTCTCTCATGATAATGTCTCCCTCTGACAATAGTGGCTGCCTGTTGTGATATGACACAGCCAGTAGCTGCCTGTCATGTCATTGTCCAGCCCTGTGGCTGCATGTCATGAGATTTAGGGGACTCCGAGAGAATATCCATTGCTGTGCCGCTCTAGCCCTGCCTCACCCTTCTCTGACAACCTTTCACAAGAGCTTTCTGAGGTTGACATCCTCATGGAAAGTGTGATGGCAAGCAGGAGAATTCCCCAGGCCTACTGCGGTCGGGGAGACCTTTCTTACCCTTTAATTTTACCTAGAGAGGCCACCTAGCCCATACAGCTTTGCTTCCTGGAACAACCTGACTCTTCCTATAGTTCTTCACAAAGCTTTCTCTTTAGGTTGCTGTTTAAAGGTTTTTGCTAAAATCCCTGAATTGTACTTATATTTGTGAAAGTCTAAAGGCCTTTCTCGCTGAATCTTGATGAATACAGGAAAACCTGAACATCAGGCAGCCTTGTACTTTAGTCTCTCCTGATGTCATGGGTTGTCCCCACCTGAGCAACGGCAGCGAGGCTGATGGTTTTAGGTGTGCTCAACTTGATCTGGTGATAGATGGGCATGCTGAGTAATTGGGAGACTATTGCAATAGCCAAGATGTAAAAGGCCGGGTCTAAGTTGTTATCAAGAGCCTCAGGCCTCACCCACAAGTTGCATTCCCACAAAGCTGGCGGCCAGGATTATTCCCGCCAAGCAAGACGCTGAAGAATTCCTCTCTTGGGTAAAAATGCCACCTTGTGAAGAGGCAGACAAATGTGCTGATGGAGCTTCAGTGATGAGAGCTGTGGACCACAGGATCCGGATATAAGTTCATTTTAATTAATTTATTTTTTTATAAACTTTGGGCCTAAGACACACAGTAAGACTTCTGAATGAGGTGGCAGGCTATACAAGGCTTGGGGGCAAAAGAACTGTATATAACTTTTTCTACCACTTCTTTGACATTTTCCTGCAAGGAAGCAGGTAGACCTCCCTACTCAAGTCAACTCAACAGATTGGAGTGACTGGTTCTAAGGTGATCTTGTCACTTTTTTCTACACCCTCCCTCATTGTCTACTTCCCCCTCCCCTCATTGTGCCCCTACACATAGCTTCCCACTTAGAAAAGAAATGTTACATAGACTTAATTTTTTTTCTTTAAGAGAAAAGTAACAGAGGACAGAAGAATCACGTTGCTCTGATGGGAATTCTCCACATTGCAGGCTCAGAGGAACTTTGAACTTGGAGGGTCTTCAGTATCAACTGATCTCATGCTTTCATCATATACATGAGGATGCCGGGGTCCCCAGGCCATGCAGGGAGGTACCAGCCTGGCCCACCCCTGAGCTTCTAGCTGCCTTCCCCTTCCATTGACTTGCCCCGGAGCCTGCTCCCAAGCCCTTGGGAGACGTCAGGTGCTCATCTCCCCAGACAAACACTCACAGGCAACAGTCACGCCCCACCCTGGCTGCACGCTGCATGGAGGGTCTCGTTTTTGACATCCCACTCTTGTCCCATTAAGAACGGTGGGAAAATTGGGCTGGGAGCAGGGCTACCGGGCCAGCAGGTAAAAGTACCACTCACCTCTCTCGGAGAGGACTGCTGGGAAGAGCATGGACGCTGGAAATGAAGCAGTTTAAGCTCTTTGGAAAGTTCCTAGTGCCTTAGGATTCCAGGAAGTGCCAAAGCACAGAGTCGCAGAAGAGGAAAAGATTTCTGAGAAAAGGATGACATGAATACACAGGGGCCGGCGAAAGTTGGTTTACAGTTGTGAGAACACGAGCAGTTTATTGCTGTATTATTATTTAGTAAGTATTGTATTATTTATTTGTACTATATAAACCTACTTTTGTTCACCCCCGTATGTTGGACACCTCCCACGTTATTGGACGTATTGTTTTTCAGCCTCACAGTCACGCTCAGAGGTCGGCCCACTGCGATCGCCTTTTTGTAGAGGGGGAATAGAGGACCAGGGTGGTTGTGGAAATGGACCCAAGTCGCTGAACTGGTAAGCTAGGGCTTAAACTCAGGCCTGTTTGGGCTTCTCATAACTATACACCATTAGTTTTTGTTCTTTTAAAAATATATTTTATTTATTTATTTTTAGAGAGAGGGAGAAAGAGAGGGAGAGAAACATCAATGTGTGAAGACAAAACGTCAATCAGCTGCCTCTCACACACCTGCAACTGGGGACCTGGCCCGAAACCCAGGCATGTGCCCTGGCTGGGAATCGAATCAGCAGCTTTTCAGTCCACAGGCCAGGGCTCAATCCACTGAGCCACGTCAGCCAGGGCCACTGCTTTTTGTTCTTCCTGTTTTCTACTACGATGATGCTCAAGCCATATCCTTTATGTGTGAAAGATTTTTTTACCATACTTTCTTCAAATTTGCCAGGTAATATTCCACAACCATAGTTGTGCCTGCCTTTCAAAATCATTAGAGTGAGCAAGTTCTTCCCGGCATCTAACTTAAATCCCTCCAGATGCCACAGACCCTGCCCTCAGGGAACATGGGAAATGGCCACACCACTGCAGGCAGCAGCAGCTTCCCAGCCCTGGTTCCAAACTGCTTCTGTTAGAACAATTGTCAATTCAAAACACATGCGCTGTCATGAAGCCTCACACCCACCCAGACACTCCACTCTGGGTCCCATCTCGGGTGAGCCTAAAATACCTGTCACTCAGAACCGAGCCACATCATCCATATGGTAATCAAAACAGATCAAGGCTTTTCTTTCACCCTGTTCCTGAGCTGAGTTCTGACCTGATCCCCTTTCCAAAGTATATTCTAGGGCTCATATTGTGTGCGATCAAAGATAGAGCCTATCTACATCTGAGCTGTCAGGAACCGGAAGACAACATTTCTTACATGGGGAAATTTGGGCACCCTCTTTGATTCTTTACAAATAGAAAAATGCAGCCTGGCAATTCTTTTGCAAACATATATGGGTGTAGGGCATGATAGAAGAATATTATAGAACACAGCAGTACACCAACTTGCATGTAAGAGCAAGTGAAGGTTTGCAGAAACTGTAAAATATTTGGAGCTAAAAGATCTGGGTGTGAGTCCTATCACAGGCCCTTACTAGCTTCGTGATCTTTGGCACATTACTTACATCTCTCTCTTTCTCTCTCTCTGAGAGGGGAAGGGAGGGAGAAAGAGAGGGAGATAAACATCAACGTTTGAAAGATACATTGATTGGTTGTCTCTCATACGCCCCCAGCTGGGGAACCTGCATGTGCCCTGTCTTGGAATTGAATTGGGACCTTTTGCTTCACAGGCAGGCACTCAATCCACTGGGCCACACCAGTTGAGGCTTAACCTCCTTTTCTGAAGCTTCCATTTTCTTCTCTGTGGAATGCAAATAGTAATCCATAACTCATACTCTAGTTGAAAAGATTCCTACAAAGTGCTCCATGAAAGTGTAAAGATACTACTATTAGCACCATTGCTGTTCCTGTAGCACTAAAAATAAAGCCCACCTCTGGGTTGAGAGAATAACCTTCCATCTTCCTTTTTCTGGGTACACTTTAAAAAAATTCTGGGTGTTTACTATGTGTCAGGCTTTCATGTTTTAAGCTTCATGTATATTAGCTCACTCCTCATCCTGGAAGGTCGATACTATCATTATTAGCCTCATTTTTCAGCTGAGTCAGAAGGGTGAAGCAAATTACCGATAGCAGTGAGCTAATAAGTAATTGAATTGATCAGGATTCTAATCGAATCCTGATTAGAATTCAGGATTCTGGATTTTAATTCCAGAAACCACATTCCTGAGCACGAGATCAGTTAGGACGCATGTAAACGTGCTGCGTTATTACTGAGAACAGAAGACTTGGTTGCCATGACTGACTAGTGGAAACGAAAAGGAAAATAAGGTCCCGGCCGGGTGGCCCAGTTGAGTGGAGTGTCATCCCATACACCAAAAGGCTGCAGGTTCAATCCCCAGACAGGGCACATACCTAAGTTGTGGGTTCAATTCCCAGCTGGGGAGTGTGCAGGAGGCGACTGCTCAATGTTTCTCTCTCTTCCCTTTCTGAAACCAATAAACATATCCTCGGCTGAGAATTTTTTTTAAAAGAAGAAGGAGGAATGGCTTCTCTTCCTATACAGCCTTTTGTTAATTTGTTAAAGCAGCATTTTAGAGAGAGAAGAGGAAAATGTCTAAGACAACTTTGATAATATTAAGGAATACCATATTTTGCTGTGCATAATGAACACTTTTTGCCCAAATTTTGGAGGGGAAAATAAGGAAACACATCATACATGGGTAGTACTAATTCTGTATCTATATAAATGTTTTATCTATATAAATAAAACAATATCTATATATATTGTTTTATTTAGGCTTATGTTTATGCATTAAAAGTATAACTCTAGAAAGTAATAATAATGTCCATATGCAAAACAATACCACTTTGGAGGTAACACAAGTTTGAAATAACAGTGGCTTGCACTAGATAGAAATTTGTATCTCTCTTATGTAGAAGTCCAGAGGTCGATAGTTCAAGACCAGACATGAGGCTCGGCTCTACCTGGTGCTCAGAGCTCCAGGCTCCTTCTCTATTTTGGTGCTACTCATACGTAGTCTCATCCCTGACAACCAGCATAGGTGCTAGAGCTTTAGCTATTACATCTGTAAGACACACAGCAGGATGCAGGATGGGGCAGGATAGAAAAGGGATAAAACACACACCAGTTGTTTGTTGTGGACTGCTCTGAGATGCGGCCACATGCCATTTGTGCCTACATCTTACTGATCCTATAGTAGCTGTGGGGTGGGAAATGGAGTTGTTATTCTGGGTGGCTTTTTGGCCAGGTGAAGACTGGAGGATTACATCACTAAAGGAAGGGGAGAGGTAGACGGGCTAGGGAGACGTTGGAGGAGGAGTGGGAGATGAAACTGCAGAGCAGGGCAGGGCTGGGTGATGGAAACCTACCGAGACACTGAAGTTCACCACTCTAATTGTTGGGTTCATCTCCCATTTCAGCAGGCACTAAGAGAAGGCAGAGCTGTTTTCTGAACACAGTTATAAACATTGACTGTCCCTCTGAAACCTTGCAATAGCCATTCCCAGAATACAATGCAGGTGTCCATTGTGGTGGTAGGCTTGACGCTGGTTCCAGTCTGAAACCCATGAGCTCATGAGGTTGGGAGATGGCTTCTGAGTCATGTCCCTAGAGAGTCCAGAGGGAGGATGTGGTGGGGAGGACACCAGGACAGACCACAAGCTCTAAGTTGCCCTTGGCTGGCTTCTCTGAACCCCCAGAGAGGGAGCCTGGATGCCACACACTGGGCAGTAACTCCATGGCTTCCAACGCCTTCTTCCATATGCTATTTCACTTGAAACAACACACACTAAGCATGTGGCAGGGATTGCTCTGCTCCTTATTTTTGCAAAGGACGAAATGAAGTCAGTGTCACCCTGTGGTGCTCAGTAGAACAAGGTGAGATTTTTAAAGTGTCTTTGCACAAGAGTGCCAGGTGTTTCTTAGGTTGAATTAACTTTGAGAAACATCATGCTCAGGGTGCTGAGTGAGACGGGAGGGTCACATGGAGGGTGGCAGATGAGTCACAGGATTCTAATGTCATGATGACTTCAAGTTTTATCTTTTATCATCATTGTTGTATCCCTACCTGGCACACTGTAGATACTCAATAAATATTCAGTGAAAGGATGTATGAAGGTTTAGGTGTCCAGCCTTCTTGGATCCTACTTTCGTCATGCCATGAAATAATCTTCGAATGTGTTCACACTTTTACGTGCTTAGTGCTGACAAGGTAGGAAATGCGTACTACTAAAACCTCCAACCTAGAGACAGAAACAGGTTAAATGAATTGCTCAAGTTTACACTGATAGTACACACCTGGACCAGGATTCCAACTCAGGCTCTTAAATATTTCACTGTCTTGTTTTCTAATAGAGAATAATTGTTATTCTTTCCGTGTCAGGAGATTTACCATAGCTCGAATCATTCCCCATGAAACAGAAAAAGTCTATTCCATAGATAACTAATATAACAGTTAACTTACTACATAGATAGCAGTCCCGTCACTCGACACCAGTGCTATAGAAAAGTTCCACTCTGCTTCTCAGACGGTTTGCTCATATTGAAGTGCCAAACTAGATTGGCAGAGAGGAGTATATATTGATCTTGAATGTTTACTCGTGAACACACATCTGTTTTTGTTAATGGAGATGAGGGCAATCAGAGTCAGCTCTCAGAAGCAGGCATTCTTGACGTGGAATTCACCCCCGTCTGTGAAGTTTTATCATCCTGTAGGCTGGAGAGCAGGTTGTCAGTTTGGACAGTGGCTTGTTTGACCCAGAAGCTTCTGGACTCTTCTGTTCTTTAAAAAGATCTGCTTTTTTTTTTGTTCAGAGCCCTTCACTGAAGTTGAACTTCAAGGAGATGTGAGATTATGTGGTGGAGTAACTACATCAAAAGGACCACAAGTAGACTTGGAGGAGTAAAACAGCTCTGCGGGGGAGAGTAAAACCCCTCTCTCTTCCAGCAACAAATTCAGAGAAGAGCTGAGCCGGTCCCCAATCTGCCTTCTGGGGGGGGCCCACCCCCCACTCCTCTGCTCACTTTGCATTCACTGCTCCAGCTCAGGCGAGGGTGGGGGAGGGGAGTTGTTGCCATTTCCTTATTTGCCGACATTCTTTTATCATAATACACACAGCAGAGCAAATATTGCCTTGTAACATGTTAGGCATTAGCAGCCTTCATGTGTTTTCTTAGAGGTTCTTCCTTTGTCTTAGATGCAGGCAAGCTGGCCCCTGCACTGCTGACCACTGTAACACCAGGGAAGGTGGGCCCATGGGTAGTTGGGTAGTGGGTTTCAGGAGGATTTGGCTTTTTCGCTCAGCTACTTTACCTGAAAGGAGAGTTGAAGACAGTTATATATGCTCCTTGGAGATAATCAACAGTGACTGGGTTTTGGGGATCCACCCCTACCACCCCAAGTGGTGAGAGCAGTTGTTGACTCATTGACTGACCGAACCCACATCCCAAGACATTTGGAAGAAGTACAACTTTTTCAAAGGTGCGGTATGGAAAAAATAGTGGAGGTGGGGGGTATGAATGTAGAGGGGCTTGATAGTAAGTGTCCATGAAGTGGTGCTGTTCATGAGCTGCCTTTGTATTTCCATCCTAACTCAATACAAATGTTGTGATTGCTTTCTTGGTTACAGAAGAAAGATGATGACTTATGACTCAACAGTTTCATGATTTCTTAGACTTTAACCATTTTTAAATTATATTTTATTGATTATGTTAGTACAGTTGTCCTAATTTTCTTCCCTCTGCTCCCCTCCACCTAGTACCCCTATTCCTTAGACAACCCCCCACCGTTGTTTATGTCCATGGGTCATGTGTATAAATTCTTTGGCTATTCCATTTCCTATAATATAATTTACATCCCCATGGCTGTCCTGTAACTGCCTATTTGTATTTTTGAATCCCCTTACCTCTTTACCCATTCCCTGACACCCCTCTCCCATTTGGCAGCCATCAAAATTCTGTGTTCACAATTCCACCTTTCTTTTTTTTTTTTTTTTGCTTAGTTTTTTTCAGTTGTTGATAGATATGTATCTATTGTCATTTTATTGTTCATAATTCTGATTTCTTCTTCTTAAGTCTCTTAACATTTAATATGACTTGGTGATGATGAACTCTTAGTTTTTTCTTGTCTGGGAAGCTCTTTATCTGCTCTTCAATTCTAAATGATAGCTTTGCTGGGTAGAGCAATCTTGGCTGTAGGTGCCTGCTTTTCATTACTTTGAGTATTTCTTGCCAATTCCTTCTGGCCTGCAAAATTCCTTTTGAGAAATCAGCTGATAGTCTTATGGGAACTTCCCTGTAGGTAACTAACTTCTTTTCTCTTGCTGCTTTTAAGATTCTCTCTTTATCTTTGACCTTTAGCATTTAATTATGATGTATCTTGGAGTGGGTCTCTTCGTATCCATCTTGTTTGGGACTCTCTGTGCTTCCTGGACTTGCATGCCTATTTCCTTCACCAAATTAGGGAAGTTTTCTTTCATTATTTTTTCAAATAGATTTCCAGTTTCTTGCTCTTTCTCTTCTCCTTCTAGCACCCCTATCCTGCAAATGTTGGACCTCTTGAGGCTGTCCCAGAGGCTGCTTATACTATGCTTGTTTTTTGGATTTTTTTCTTCTTGTTGCTCTGATTGGTTGTTTTTTGCTTCTTTGTGTTCCAAATCATTGATTTGATTCTCAGCTTTATTCGCGCTACTGTTGTTTCCCTGTAATATGTTCTTTATTTCAATTAGTGTATCCTTTATTTTTATGACTGTACCTATTTTATGCTGTTGAGGTCCTCACTAAGTTCCTTGAGCAATCTTGTAACCAGTAATTTGAACTCTGCACCTGATAAATTGCTTATCTCCATTGTATTTAGGTCCCTTTCTGGAGTTTTGATCTGTTCTTTCATTTGGGTCATGTTTTCTTGTCTCCTTATTTTGGAAGCTTCCCTGTGTTTGTTTCTATGTGTTAGGTAGAGCTGCTATGACTCCTTGTCTTGGTAGTGTGGCCTAATGCCCTAGGTGTCCTGGAGGGTTCAGTGGCACAGCCACCCCTATCTCTTAAGCTGAATACTCAAGGTGTGCCTTCCATGTGGGCTGAGTACACCTTCCTCTTGTAGTTGAGGCTTGGTTGCTGTTGGCAGGTAAATGGGAGGGATTTGCCCAGGCTGGTCAGCTACAAGGACTGGCCTTGACCACTGACCACCAACCTCAGCCCTCTGTGGAGACTTATCTGTGTAGGGGCAGATCTATAGCTGTCCACTGGATGCACAGATTCTGGGATTTCCTGTGTGGTGGTGGCCGAGGTCAGCTCCCACCTAGGTTTTGTCTGGAGCCAATCTGCCTCAGGTATAAAGCAATCTGAGATGGCTGCTTCTTGTTCTGGGCTTCTGGATTCCTAGGCAAAGCCAAGCTGTGAATCTAGGCCAGCTTTTATTAGTGCTGGGCCTGGGACCACTTGGCAAAAGGTATAGAGGCTGGGGGCTCACTGAGGTTGGATGTTGCTTGTTTGAGAGGATTTAGAATGTTGTGAAGCATGAGCCAAGACCAGGCATTCATATGGAAAATTCATTGTTAACAGCTTGAGTGTGACCATAATTTGGGTAGTACAGAGTCTCCAGAGATCTATAGAGTGGGACAAATAGTGTTAGACAGGTTGATGGAGTTTCAGATATGGCGTCCACTTGCCGGCTCTGTGGCTCTGTGGTGGAAAGGGACAATGCCTTCTGCCTGCTTTTCTGTCTGGGAAAAAGATGTCCCCCAACTCTTTCCCTGATGCCAGAGACTTCAGTTTCTCCCTATCTGCCATTGGTGCCTTTTAAGCTGCTACCCAGTGCTGGAGCTCAGAGAGAGTGAGTCTTAGTAAATCTGTTTGTGGGTTCTTGAGGAGGAACTGCTTGGGACTCCAGAAGTTTCTTACACCAACTCAATCCCTGCTTTTCTGCAGCCAGAAGTTATGGAGATTTATCTTCCTGCACTGGGAGGCCTGGTGTGGAGCTGGGACTCCTCACTCCCAAGATAACTCCCTTGCGTTTTTATCTACTGTGTGTGGGTGTGGGACCAGCCTGTTTGGCATCTGTGCCTCTCCTAGCATCTGAATGGATGTGGTTTTTTTAATTCTGTAGTTGTCAGACCTCCATTCAACTAGATTTCTGATGGTTCTAAAGTTTAGTTGTAATTTTGAAATGGTTGTGCGAGGAAGTGAGCTGTTTACCTATGCTGCCATCTTGACTAGAAGTCTCTGTTTGCCATTTATACACTTCTAACAGTTACCCTGTTTGTCTTCTGAGATATCTGCTCACACCATTGGGAAAAGCACTTTGCATCATGCATAACCTCGTCATCCCTGTCACATCCCCTCATACCCCCATCCCCCACATGGCACACTTACGTTTTCCCAAGTTATAACTCTTTCAAGAAAAGGGAACTAGAAGTCTGCATTGTGCCTTCTTGTGACATCACAGACCATGATAGTGATAAGCAACAGATGGTTAAAGATATGAGCTAGAGGGGACCTGTGCCCAGGTCAAAGCCTCTGAGGTAGATTGACCCAAAGAAGGTGTGTCTATGTGTGAGTACTGGACCTTCAAGGCTGCGGGAACCCAGCTGGACTTTCCTCTTCATCTAGTTTCCCCTGAACCCAGCTTGGAGGGAACTGGGGCACTGGTGCAGAGTTCCCCATCTTCATGCTTCCCATTGATGCCTCCAGGCTTTCTTCTGTCTAAGAGAGGGAAAGAAAACTGAGAAAGATAGCTGGTGTGGAGCTTCCTGCCAATGTTACCCTGTGGGGCACTTGAATTAGACTTAATTTAATGTAGAAAAATATAAAAATAATTCAATATATTATATACTCAGAGTGTAAGAATTCTTAATTGTTAACAATATCTGAAAGAAAACATCAACCTCATGTTTGCAAAGAAGTTAAAATTTAAGTGAATTTTTCCCATTAGATCAACACAAGAACTTTAAAAACCTTACACTCATTGATGGTGAGTGGGGGCGCATAAAATGAGTAGTTACATACTTTCATTAGATATGCCAGTTGCTACAATGTTTTTGGCTCAAAACTTGGTAATTATAAAGAGGCTTAGATTTTGACCCCATAATTCTTCTTCCACCAATCTATTATAATGAATTAACAGAAACTTGGATAAAAATCTATACACAAATATGTTCATGGTAACAAATTTAATCAAACCAGAGGAGGGGGCGGTTGGAACCTCTGATGTGTAGCTGATTGGTTAGAAGCCCAGGTGGCAACCTGCACTTGTGACTGGACTCTAAATCACAAGCAGTGCTAGGGGTTGTCTTGTAGGGCTGAACCCTCAACCTGCGAAATCTAATACTATCCCCAAATTGGCCAGCCTGCTAACCCACACTCCCACATCTATTGTCAGAGTGTGAGTGTGCTAGTGGTATGAGAATACAGGGGAGACTCACAGGAGGGAGAGCCAGTTTTTCTTGCTCAGAGGACCTAGTGCAGACCACAGCCCACCTTAGCCTCCGTGGAGCATGGAGGGGAAATAAGCCATTGTTGTTGCAAGTGTCCAAGATTGGGTTTTGTTGTTGTTGTTAATACAGCAAACTTCACTAAGAAAATTCCGTTTGTACTTTTCTGTTTTACTGAGAAATAAGGCCTTCATTGACTTGTCAGTCACCAAATCCTAAGCCTTGCCCGTAACAGATACGGCTTTCTTCTTTGTCCCACAGCACTGTCTCTTTCTCACTCGCTTTCAGTGATAAGGTGGGATGTCACAGAATCAGGTTGTCCTGATGCAAACCAGGGCACAGATGCAAAGGCTGACCCAGTCCTTTGATAAAGGCTGTGTCCCCGCTTTCCGGGGTTGTACCAGGGTTGCCAACAATTTAGACCTGAGGAGAGGTAAAAAAGGGAGCAAAATTGGATAAAGGGGTAAAAGTGTCTCTTCTTCGGTAAGAGACCTTGTTTCTTCTTCTTACTCAAGAAGAGACAATTTTAGCACCGGTAGCAAGTGTGGATGACTCAGGAGTCACCATTCTGCATAGAATCCTCGCCATCCTGAATGAAAACAGAATCGTTTCATCCAAAACCAACCTGGCCAGGCATGTTCATAAACCACATACAGAGGGGGTTGATCATTTATAAATAATATACCTCCTTCTCCAAAGAAAATGTAGCTTTCTATCTAATTTTTTTATATATTACCTAATCTTCCTTATGAGCCCCATCCTGTTGAGTAACAAGGACACTTACACTTAAGTATTTCAGTATCCACTCCCTGTCTTGGCTTCCAATGGCCTATTAGTATCTGGCTTTGCTTATTGCGTCGCTGTGGAGGTGGGCAGGTGGGAGCTAGGTTGTGTGTTCTAGTCCCATGGTGCTCCATATTTGAAGAGATGATTTGCCTGTGTACCTGGTTGCTCTTTGCTTTACTGGCACCTTGCAGACATCTGTGACTAAAATACTCCAGGTTTTCTGTTTCTTAGCTTAGTCATGGTCTGGAGACCTCTCAATCACTGTGCTTCATTTCAGCTCTCCAGAGCTGCATGTTTCTTTA